CCCCAAAACCCCAAAACCCCAAAACCCCAAAACCCCAAAACCCCTTATTTCAGAGCAATTATTGAAGTAATTCTATTATTGGCTGATTCTGTAGAGGTCGATGGTAGAAGCCCATTCTTCGTAAACATCACTGTAGAATACATCAGGGAACCTTTCTACATAAGATCTGACAATTCCTTCATGTGTCTGATCGTAGTCCTTGTACTCAACATTGTTGAAGCTTGACATCAACAGATTTGGTTGGATTTCGAGTCTTCTAGGAAGCTTGTTAGCCTCAACTATTCTCTTGATTCTCAAGAAATGATCATCTACCTTGCAATATCTAAAATGATAATAAGGAGAAAGTTACTCGTTGAACCATTTTTCAGCCTCATCAAAGTCACCCATTGATTTGAGGATATGCAACTTTTTCAAGAATGGCTTGAGAGCGTCGAAACACTTTGTTTTGACATTTTCTTTATCAAATTTGATGTTGAAGTATTCCTTTCCATCTTTTTCTGTGAAATCAACTGAGAATACATCTCCTGCTTCGTGAAGGACTTTCATGACTATAAACTGGGTAAGAAAAAGTTTGGAAAGTTACTTACTGACATATCCAGCAATAATATGAGCTTGCCCCCACTGTTGGGATGCTTCATCATAGAACTGGAGTCCTACAAGAGCTCCTCTGATGATGTCTAGCCACATCACATATTCAATGTCTAGCCACTCATCTTCTCTGTCTGCGAAGAAGATCTGATATGGCTCCTCAAAGTGTCCAAGGTATAATGCAACAGTATCTGCTCTACACTCTTCATATCCAGAATGAAGTTTTCCAAACTTGCTACTCCATGTTTCATTGGACTTGTAAAATGTACTGATTTTCTCACCAGTGAAAGGATTCAGTAACTTCTCTTGATCAAAGTTGAACTTTCCAGTGTCAACATCTTGAGTGAGAAGTTTACCAGTTCCATGTCCAAGAAGCTCATGAAGAGCAACCATTAGGGTTAGAGATTCGTTTGAGTATTTGTAGTACAGATCTTTCATTTCTCCTTCCATATATTGGATATTCTCGTAGGTGGGCTTTGGATACACATTACCAAGATCAACATTTTTGTATCCAAGATTTTCTCTGATATCATCGTAATTTGGAAGATTGATTCCGATGGGAGTTCCTGAGCAGGCAAAGGCAAGAACATTGAGACTGGTAAAATCAGGCTTATTGAATTTGTCCTTCTCGAAGTCTTTACCCCAAGGAAGGTATTCAATAAGTTTTTCAGCATTATCAACAAGTTTGGAGAAGAGCTTGCTTGTTTCTTTGTTGACGATGGATACAAATCCTTCATACTCAGCTCTAACTCCAAGTGGATCTAGATAGGTCTCAATATATCCTATGTTAGTTTCAATAGCTGGGTCTACATCTTTAATCCATTCCTTCATTGCATCTTTGTGTGCATTCATATCTCCTGAGATGAAGTTCTTGACGTAATGATCAAGCATCTGCTTCTGAGTATCATTAGCAGCATAAAATTTAGCTTGTTTGAGATTTTTAGCGATTTCGTTCATTGCCCAGCTGAAATCTCCTCTTGTGATCTTAATCTTCTGCCCTTGGTAAGTATAGTTCTTCAAGTAAGGGAGTTCTTCCTCAAGACGGTTGTTTGTAGAAGCAAGCTTTACCTCAAATCCATCTGAAGTCTTAATGAGCCTAGTGTTCAGGGGAGAAATATTGTTCTCCTTCATAAAACTGTCAATCATTGTGGCTTCTTCCTTAGTAATATTTGAGGAATAGTACGAAGAGTTTTCTTGATTGTTACTCCAACCAATTTTAAAGTATGGTGGATCTTCATTGTACACCTCCAAGTTAATATTAGTCCAGATATTGGTAATCTCGTCTACATGTTTTGATGGTAATACTTACTTTCAAAAATGGAGTAGTTTTTGGAAGCTTGAATAATCTCCCAGAACTTATCCTCAGGTATCTGAGGAACAAATTTTGTATCTCCAAAACTCCTATAATTTCCGCAGTTGTTGAATACACCTGCTGAGTATGCAAGAAACGCTTTCCATTCGTCTTCAGTGACCTTCTCTAATGCTGCTTGTTTGAGTTCGTCAAAGTCTTGAGTGAATACAAGCTTGAGAAGAACGAAAAGAGCTGGAGCTTCATAGGATCTTTGGAACCAACAAATCATAGATCCTTCCCAGCATGCCTTATAGAAGTAATAAGCATAGAGTTTTTCTTTATCAGTCAGCTGACTCCATGCTTCTGAGCTCTTAATTGCATGCACTGGTGCTTTTGGATGAATATATTCTTTGGGAGAGAAAGATTCCATTTTTAATTATGAGATTCAACCAAATTTATAGATAGAGGGGTTTTGGGGTTTTGGGGTTTTGGGGTTTGGGGTTTTGGGGTTTTGGGG